ACACTGTGTAAACATATCGATTCATATAATTGTCAATGCACATCGATAGATCTCATTTGATATACGAAAACGACAGTGTAAGAATGAGATTAAAAATATAAATGTCAACTTGCGAAACGTACGTAGAAAAAGTACTTACCCGTTTCATGACTAGGGTACGGTCTGATTCTTCCTCGTCGGGAGTTGGTGGAAGTGGTCTGTTGGGTGCACCGCCTAGAAAGATTATTCAAAATTATAAATCGCGAACAAAAACTGTTATAGAATCTGGAATCACTTATATAATTATTGCAAGATAAATCTTTTTCAAATCTTCATAACTACTTTATTTTCTAACAACGAAGAATCGTTGGAAATGTTATTTGAAAAGATATTTCTAGTTGAAGTTGTCGGTTTACGTCACAAAGACATACGATTGGAGCAAACATTAACGTTATATATTTTGTGCTTGTAAAAACTGCTCAATTTCGCGTTAAATTCACTGCAAAAGGCTTTAATGAAATCAATGGGTTCGATGCTGTGATTTCTTCTTATGTTAATGATAATTAAAAAATAATTTTAAAACTTAGAAAGTATATTTCTAAGATGACTGACGTACTATTTTAAGGGAAGATTGTACACGAAGAAATTAAAATAAAACAATAGCTAAATACACATTGTTTTTCGGTTCCTGTTCTGATGTCTGAAAAGTTCCATCTTTGAAAAGTTCCTTCTATGTGAATATGGTAAAGAAATAAAAACAGTTTCTACATACGGGGTAATTCTTACAATTAGAACGGTTTATATTTCAAAAATGGAAAGTGCTGAAAGCAAATTGTAGAGGAAAAGGTTAAATGGTGTGGGAGAATTTGCGTTTCTACAGGCTTACGTTTTTTATAAACGCAAAGGTGCACTTAAGGAATGCAAACGTACTTTTTTCCTAAATTGAATTATTTTTTCTTCCTACTGCAGATCGATTCGTAATAGTAGTTTGTTTAAAAAATTATTAGATTGCAATGATAAAGAAATTAACGATTTATGAGATATTTCGAAATACCTTATAAATTTTTGTACAGAAGATTAAGATTTTCAAAGGTTTTGTAATATGTCCCCTTGTGTTTTTCATAATGTATTTAACGAAACGTGTAATTTATGCAGAAAATGAAATACCTTACAAATTATTGATTTTTTCTTACATTGCATAAGTATTGATATTTTGCTTTTGCGTATACTCTTGTAATGGACTAACCTACATGCAAAAAAGCAAATATAATTCAATTTGGAGCAAATTTACATTTGCATTTCTTATGGGATCGTATTATTTATTTAAAAAGTAAGCCTATAGAAAAATATATCCTGCCACGACATTCAACTTTTTTCTATAACTTTTTTTGGAACTTACAATTTTTGAAACATAATCTGTCTTAACTGCGAGAGTTGTCGTATATGTACCCAATAAAACTGAATATTTTGCTGCAAGCTGATTTTGTGCCATACAGAAAGGTATCAGGAGCAATAGTATAAAGATAAGAAAGTAATCATAAAGTTTATTCCCTGCATTACGATTCTGTTCTGACCTGCTGCTTTCCTATTACGTCATCGCGCATGTGTATATAGGGTACCTCAACTATGTATGGTGGTAAGTGTATATTATATCTAATTAAACTTGTAGTGAACATTTTTAATTGGATTTGATACATATGAACATTATTTCTCTCCCTTGAGGGGGTATTCTAGTTTGAAATTACATGTTTTGAATTGGTTGCCATGATATTTACAAATTTATCGCACTGACCGAGCTCAAATTTTGCTATCGTCGGTACTTTGGTCATGCAAAATATATTTCTTCTGACTTCTACGATTATTTAAATATAAAAAAGAGCACGAAAAAACGGAACTTAAAATTCATAGCGTCGCTATCTTTTCGACGTGCAATATATTACTTTCCTTTTGATACCAGCAATGGTCACATTCATAATGCTTGAAAATCAATTGGATTTGTTTATTCAAGATGAGTAATACAGCTCAAACCAGCAATTTACAGTTTTTCATATACAACTTCGATGTGCTCTATGGCAACCATTTTGAAATGTTGTTCAATAAAACATGTATAATTATTCTTCAAAGGCACGTAAAAATTATACCGCACACGTTTATGCTAATAACTTTTAATTAATTTTCATAAGGAATAATTCGTAAGGAAACGTAAAAACCACCCGTCGCATTATAATAACCCCTTAAGGAGAAGTAATTAATATCATTAATATTTCATCTTCAGGGTTAAGGTAAATTAATAATGAATAAAAATTGCTTTGCTTTCCTCTAAGTCACTAAATAATTCACGGGACATAAGGTGATATAGACATATAAGGAAATGCATAAAAGTATACATTACGCCTTATCTAATTAACTACAATTCCAAGATCTTTAAAGAAGAAATAAAACGCGTGTTTGTAGTTACGACAAAACTATGAGACAGTTTTTATTAAGTGGGCATAGTGAACAATGTGAAGAAAGTTTTCATTAAGAAACAGACAATGTGTGACATTAATTGAATAACTAAATAGTGCAATATTATAAATAACTAAATGAATCTCATGTTTCCAATGGAAGAAAGCTAGAGGAAGTTGAAATTAATTTAATTAGCTTAGGAAGGAGCCGAAGTACGATCTACAATTATCTAAAAAGTAGTAAAGGAAAACAATGCAGTAAAGACAGTATTGACCAAAGGAAAGTTTAAAATTAGTAAATGTCATTATAGGTATTAAGAACTTCTGTATTTTGAATTTACCGCCATGTTGGAATTACAGGTTTGTTCTTGGGACCAACTTTACTATATACTACATACAGTACCGGCTAAAAGAAGTTTACAAGATAAGAAAAAATAAAAACCGCCCTATCCCGGCGAACATTCCATGTCGAAAATTTCATTATTTGGTTTTTCCAAAAGGAAGAAGTCAGATTGCCTGTTCAATTGCAAAGTTTTAACAGGATAAAATAATTTTTGTTCCTTTAATGGTTCATATTACCGTCGACGTTAATGTTTTGAAAGTATTCAATGCAGAGCGACGGTGTGCGAGAGCACCGAACATACTATTAAAAACATTATTCCTTTTAATGCGTATATTTTGATTTGTTCACAATTCATTTTTATACGTCATTTACGACTTCATAGTCATACGAGTAAAACCTTACAATATATTTTTTTAATATTTGCTAGTTACAAAGTAATGCGCCTTTTTTAAGTAGAATCTCATTTTTTCATGACTTCATCTTAATTTTTAATTTTTATTGCAAAATGATATGACGATTTGACAAGAGTGTCATTTGTATGTTAAAATAGGGACTATAATAAATAATTTCGAATATTTTAAAATTTTTACGAAACTCTTAACAATGATAAATCAGGTCTGATCATAAAAAGTCCATATTATCGATCACCTTAGTGAAAAACCATATTGCCGACAGAAGGTTGCATACCAATGTTAACAGTATAAACAACATTACATGTAGCAGCGAAGAAATACACATGTTATTTAATGGCAAAATGAAACTAATGGAAAGCAAAACGGACAGAAGTAAGTTGAATCTCTTTACTCAATAATGTTTTTTACGTATCTGCGTGTTTACTAACTTATTAAACATTTTTCTAACACTTTGTGGATCTTCCTTGATTATTTATGACGGTTTGTAAATTTTCTAGCATATCTATCAGAGGATCGTACTAGTTTTCTTCTAGTGGTTCCCGAAAAATAGTCCTATTTTTGCGAGCATGAAATGGTATATTATTGTAAAGAATATTTTTTATCAAATTTAGATCAACCGGCTGAGGTGACCAATTAATATGTTATTTTGCATTTTAGCATCGTTTAAACATGTTTAAATGTTTATAATGTTATTAAAATTTAAATTATTGTGTTCAGGAAGGTACATAGTTTCATAATCTATATAAAAAATTTTCGTAATTAAGACACAGCAGATGTTCGAAGTTAATCAATTGTGTCTTTTTCAAAATAAATTTTCTCAGAAACTGTGATGGATAAAAGCGGATTGCATGTTTAAATTTAGCATACGAAATACTAGTAAGATTTCCGATTAAATCTTCTGTAGCAAAAATCTTGTTAGCCAGTGTAATCGATATTTCATGTCCAATTGTATTTTCTTTAAACGTTAGTTCGCTATTTTTAACCCTGATCGTTAAATTTCTAACGTCTATGGATTTCCTACTCGTTGCACCCGTTTGTACAAAAAACCGTGAATGCAAATATTAATATAATAATCAACAATCGAAAAAACAATACATTGCTTGCTCCTAACATTTGATAATATTCATAACATGTTTTCTTTCGTATAAAAAGTTTTAAACTTACTATCGTCCTTCTTAATTACAGCATAAAATCCATTAAATCTATATTTTACGAATGTAAGAGAAGCAGTAAATAAGTATCTGCGTGGTGTAGATAGAATTTGATCTCAAGAACTGACCTGGAATTTCAATATGCCGGGAAATTCAAAATATAGAAGTTATAAATACCTATAATGCTTCTTACTAATTTTAAACTCTTTTTAAAACAATACTTAGCTGCTCTTTCTATAAACCCGTACATATACCTACATACTGAACTATTTGAAACGAAAGATGCAGCGGTAATATTAAAAATTGTATAAAATTGACGTGAATTATAAGAATCAAAGTTTGGCAGAACTTTCTCCACCGATAAAACTAATAGACGATACTAATACGAGTAAGTCCAGTTTTCTCAGAGTGGGTATACAGGAACGCCATGCTTTTAAAAACCATGTCTACTCATATCACTTTCTATTATTTTTGTCACAGGAGAAAGTTGTTCAAAACATCAATACTTACAACATACGTCAATTTCATTAAAATCGGCGTTATTATCGCATTTTGTATCTTAAACAATTCCGTCGGCATGCCTCTTGGTTTATAGAAAAAGCAGGTAAGCAGTTGCTCCATTCTAACATCATACCCTCTCAAAGACGTATACATACAGGGTGTTTCGAAATTGTAGTACAACAAATGATAGGACGTATAGAACTCACCAAAACTGACAAGGAAAGGTATTTAACCCGGAAATTCAAAAAATTACAATACTTTGTGTGTAAGTAGAGTAAATCAAGCCTAATACATTGTAATTTTTTCGTACCGAATTTCACTCTGAAGGGGTGAAACCACCCCTAGAAAAAGATACAAATTTTTCTTTCCCGTGGATTATTTTGAAAACGGTAAGTGATCGCGAAAAAAAGTTTCAATAGAAAATACATTGTTTTTTCACGTCTATAGAATTGCAAAATAGAATTTTTAAAAAAGTTTAAATTTTATTTTGCAATTTTATAGAGGTAAAGGTGAAGTTATCGATGTTCTTAGCTTAAAGTTTTGAACAACTTTATCCTTTGTATGCTGTCAATGGGCGGGTTTAGTTTCCGAGATAATCGCAAAAAACTTTTGCGATTACTACACTCAACGTTTTTTAAAAAATTGAACCTATTTTTATCTCGGACACTTAAAATTTCGGCCTATGTTCTCTACCGTTTTCACTCGGTTTACCGAGTTGCATACGCCCTCTCATTTGTCCGCCGTTATTTCCAAGCACATACGTCACACGAGTGTTACGCGATGATACTAAGGGTTAGTATCTTGAAAAGTAATAAATATTAAAAATTAAAATTTCACATTTTAGACCCATCCTCTCTCCATACCCAACCTTCAGAATTTCAACTCGATGGACTGCCGGTGCCGTTGAGAAAAATACTTAAGTGATTTTCATACATACACGGTGATATAAAAAATTAGTATTTATAACTTGTAGGCTAGAACCGCCTAGAACTATAACAACCCTTATCACTCCGAGAATATTATAGAATGATTTTTAGCCAACTTCAAACATGCAATAATAATAAAATTGCAAAATTCTAGCAGTGATACTGCCAGCTGAAGGAAAACGCTAGCTTTAGCTTGGCAGTATTACTGCCGGTTGGCGTGACAGGGATTAATAATACTAATCAAACTCTAATATGGACCGAAAAATTATATTTTTAAAGTTATAAAGAATTATTTCCGTCAATCGAAATGACTAATTTTCTCACTTCCAAAGTATCGTGCCATATGAACACAATGAATTATCTGTCTCTCTTTTTTATGCTCGTATAATAACACAGGATTATCATGAGTGTAATATTATTATTACCAGGTAAAAAAGAAATAACAAAGGATAATCCATTATTCTCATACTGTATGATAACTTCAGAACCGAGGAAATCAATCGTTTTAACTGGTACAAAAATTGTTTGTATCGTTAGAAATATTAATTTTTCAACTCGTAAGGTAAAGTACGTAGTAAACAGGAATAAAGAAATATCCACTTAAAACTAAAAAGTTTTACTTTAATTTTAAGTTATTCCTGTATTAAACTGATATCCAGTTTTCGATAACAAGAATCGCGTTACAGCGAGCTATGGAATACATAATTAGAGCTTACTTCGAATTCGAGAAAAAGTCACGTTATATCACATCAGCGTTAAACGTTGAAACAGCGTTAAACGAGCTTGTGTTGTAGGAATCACGGGGCGAATAAAATCAACATAAGAATATTGACTATATTTGTTACGTAATTATAGAAATCAGCATGCTGACTGACCATATTATTTCATACACTTCTTCATTTTCAATTGTTTCAAACTGTTATTTATCACCAGCACGTGTTTAATATACTTCAGATTATTATATTGTATTTTGTTCATTTATCGCATTCACTTTAGATTCGGATCAAATCGGGCAGGGCGAATCGGATTTCCGTTTTCCTCAATTTTCTGTCTATGATTATAAATATCATGATTATTTACATATAAATGTAGAAAACAGACAAATTAGGGATCACGAAGCTGAGAAACAATAAACAGTACAATCATAAGAGTTAACTCGAAAGAACTGACCATACGTCATCAAGCTCCTTGAATTTATCGCATATAATATATATATACCTTGTACAATCCTACAAAGACGATTCACTTGTTGTATAATTAAAATAACCAATTTCACATTAGACATCACTTGTCAATAAAATGTTACCTTTTGAAAAACATCAAAGAAGCCTAAAAACATCATTAAAACCTAGGCCAAAGAAGGACACTTTAAGAAAATAATGAAGACTAATAGAACGTATGAATTACTAACATAAATATAAGATCTTCCAAAGAATAATACTGCATTTATTGCAACAAAAAATTTATCCATCCATTTTCAAAAGATTGGGTTGAATGCAATCTTTGCGAAGAATCATGTCACGAAATCGGTACCAATAGATGTGGTGTTAAAAGATAGTATATTTGCGACAAATATGGCAATAATTGATTTTATTATTATTAAATTGTGTAATTTTTGAGGAAACAAAAATGTCTTTTTAGATTCCGGAATGATCAGCGAAAAACTAATAGTTAAAACTTAGAATGAAACATTTTTTTTTATAAATTTCTTTTTAATACACATTCAGCTTCAATATCAGTAAAAAAACATTATTGAAAAACTTAAAAACCTTCCTTTTATAAGCAAAAAAACTGAAAAGTGAGAAATATCCGATTCACCCCGGGATATTTGGACGAATTGGATGTTTCCCACTTTTCAGTTTTTTGCTTGCAAAACAAAGATTTTTAAGTAATTTAATACCTTTTTTTTTTCTAATACTAAAGCTGAATGTCTATTAATAAGAAATCTACGACAAAAAATGTTGATTCTAAGTTTTAATTATTAGTTTCTCGCTGATAAATCTGAACTGATCCGATTCGCCTCAGTTTACTCTACAAGGAAAAGATAAATTACACTTTAGTTAGGACGTAACTTATTTCTAAACCTCTCATTATTCATTCGATTCCCGATCATGAGAAACGTTGACGCGCTTTAGAAGAAACTGTCGGTCTTCTCTTTTCAATCAGTCAATCGTAAACTGGATTGCGTCAATTGCTGTAAAATGTCCGGATTTTGTTTCTAATAAGTATAATTCTTGACTTCCGTAACATAGTAACTTGTCTTGTTCATCGTACAGTGATGCTTGCTTAAATTCCACAGAAATCTGCTGAGCTTAATTCGACTGTACTATTCCTACTTTTTTGCCATTACTGACTTCATGATCCCAGTACAGTTGATTACTCCATGATCCCAACCGGTCGGTGTCTGAAACGGGTAGAGAGGCAAGGGGGACGTCCAACTCGCGGCGCTCGATTCGGTAGTAATGGCGGAATTAATTTCGACACGTCTTTGTTACTGGCAGAGCGGCGAGTTTAGATGGAGCGTGCGGCTGAATCCCCTTGCCTCTCTACCCGTTTCAAGTGCTGGCCGGCCGGGATCATGTGAGTAACCAACTGTACACAGAGACAGAAAATGAATACAATGAGGGGAAGAAACAGACACAGGCCAAAGAGACGTCGTACGCGTCAAGTATAGACACGCAATGAAGAAAATTTCAATTGCGATAATTTTAACCATAACTTCTCAATCGTAATACCAATGGAACAATGAGATTCTTGTCACTAAAATGCGTCCAAACACGACGGTAATTGATCTAGTTTTATCAATTTGGGACAAATGAACCTTTAATTTCATTAATTCGGTAAAACTAGTCCGATTTCCATCGTATGATGGAACTCATTTTACGTTGAACTCATTTTAATCACAATAATTTGAGAAATTCACTGGCGCTAAATTTGAGAAGGTATGGTTAAAATTACTGCAATTGAAATTTTCTTCGTTACATTTTCATATTTGACGCGTACGGCATCGCTTCGAGGTCTCGCGTCTCGATCCTCGATGCTTGAAGGACTGTGTCTATTCCGCTTTTACTCACTATATCAATTCTCTGCTTTTGTTAGGCTATGCTTAAGTCAATTTCTGGAAGCGGATAGTTTCCTCCTGTTTTTTTTTGTTTAAATTTCACTCCTGGAACCCGAAATTGTAGAATTTAAGCGAGCATTATTGTAGTGATTTCCGATTTCGGTATTTCCACTAGATTTATTAATTCCAGTAAACACAATGGACGCGAATACACATTATTAAATCTTGTTCGTGAAAGTTAAAAGAAATTCTGTGTGAAGTCCTACCTTTAGGCTTACCTTGATGATGAGAGTTCTGGGCATTATGCGAAGACATCGACGATGAATCTGTAGACGGTCTGAAAGGAGAAAATTCGGGTCTGCAGCAACGGATATAGAAATGCAGAGACGTGATGGCGCACGAGGTACATGGAATGCGTTGCGTACGTTGTGTGGCGATGCGACGAGGACGACGATGCGAAGCAATGTATGGAAGCGTAATGAAAGATGAAACGGACTGACATTAATATGATTAATTCAAAAACCATGTATAAATTATATTATAATTAAATAACCATAATCATGTTACACTTTTCGTTAGATTATTCTATTACATTTAGTGATTATAATTACATTTATATAAGTCAGTAGGTCGTATCAGAAGATATGCGTTTTTTGAAGGTTAAGTAAATCATCATTTTTATAAGAAAGTGTTAAGTTTCTCTGATAAATATAATTATAAAGTGAGTTTCGTCTATTTTGATAAGTACTTTTACGAAATCCCTTTCTTCAAATTGCATTACGTGCACTTATTCTTCAACAAATTCCATTTCTGTTCACTTTCAGTCCCCTAAAATCAGCCAAAGTGTTTTCTCTGGAACATAAGGAATAGTCGTCCTCCATGTGAAGGATTTGACCAACCCATGTACTAAACTATTGTGCACAAATAATAGGGCGTGTGCAACTTACTAAACTCAGTAAAAAAAACTCCAGTGAACATGGGTCCAAAACTCAATAGTCTCCGAGATAAAATTAAGTTTCCCTAAACGTATCAATGATACGAATAAATATGTCAAACAAACGTTACAGGGTATGAAATACTACATGTCACATCCGAAGGTATTCGACCGTGACGTGACCTCGAAGAGTCTTGCAAAAGGTCACGTCACAATTCCTAAATAGAACCCCATATTTTCATATTCGATATTTTTAAAGCCAACATTCAGACGTTTCCAAATCAAAGACATGAAATTTTTCCTGCCAGCCATTGTCAGGATATCAGCACCCAAAATTGTCGATTCGTCAGTAGCGATGGTAGCTGAGTATATTCTAATCTCGCTACATTATGACGTGTTAAAAGTTTCGGTGCAGACAATAATTTTTAATCAAGTTGACATTCCTTTGGAATTTCGTGACAGGACTTTAAGGAATTGCCCGTAATTTAAATTATCTACCATTCACTACGCAGAGACAACTCCTTTTAGGTCACCCTTCCCCTTATTTTGTCCATATTTAGTGGGATCGTTTAAAAAATTCAAAACAACTTTATGGGATCGCCCGAGCCTGTGTGCAATTTCTCAAATTCAAATTTCGGCATCTCTATACGTTAAAATTGCACCTTGTTCTTGTTTGCTGAAAAACTTTGTGATTAGTTACAATTTTGCAATAGAAAATCATGAAAAACATTAAGAACTGAAGATGGTGATATAGTTCTGTACCAATAGAAAACTATTTTTTTATTATATTACAATATCTATGTAACCAAGTTCAATGTGCTTCATCGGAATATGATTATTTACAATGTTTTTCGTTTAGTACATTTGGTTTTGAGGAATTATTTTTTTAAAATATCAATTGTATAACACAACAAAGTATTAACCGAGAAATCTCTTCGTTAGATGAGAAAATGTACATCGGTTACATGGGAATAAAATATAATTTTATTTTGTATTGAGTACAATAGAATATATTATACACTGATCATTTGTTTTTCTAAGAAAAACGATTTATTGACAACCGCCCCTACATAAATTGAAGATGTTTCTCAACCGAATGGTTGGATGTATAGCAATTTTTGAAGTTAGTAAAACTCCAGTTATAATGGAATATTTTAGATAATTATAATAATCACAAAATTATAAATATCACTGATTTTTATGGAAACAATAATATTCATCTTGTTAATTTATCATTATAAACGAGTTATAAATTACAAGCACTCGACAGAACTGTTATAAAACAATTAAAAAAGTAATCACCCATTATGAGTGATGTAACATGTACTGTGGGTAACAGAAGTTTTCGAACGCTAATACATTGTTCATAGTTTTTATACATCTTCGCCAATAATGTAAATACTGCTACTAAATGAAAGCACTCTCACGTCAAGCTATTATTTCATTAACAACAGCATAGAAGTGTACGATATAATATTCAAAATGAGTCTGAAAAACACAAAAGTATGAACGAGAAACTATCCTTCGGCTGCACAAGGATGCGAAATCATATAGTGAGATAGCAAAAATTGTAAATAGAAGTCTACGGTACAATATGTCATAAGAAAATCAAAAACTGAAGAAACAATTGTGAATAAAGCTTGTTTCTTTGAAGAAAACTAAATACAGAATTGGACATGCAAAACGTACGCCCAACAGTAAAAGACAGTGGTTCAGTCATGGTGTGGGATTGCATGGCGGCTAGTGATGCGGATAATTTAGCATTTATTGACGGAATACTCGATAAATATAAATATCTAAGTATTGTAAAGAACAATCTTAAAGATAGTGCCCATAAGTTGGGATTGTTAAAAGACTTTTACTTTCAACAGGACAACGATCCTAAACATACAGCGAGGATCGTGAAAAAATGGATCGTATACAGTATATCCCATGTTAAATACGCCACCCCACAGTTCAGACATAAATCCCATTGAAAATTAATGGGCTGAAGTAGGCAACAAAATTTAATAAATTTCTAATATCTTTAAAGCAGACGCTTAAGGGAAAAAATCTGGAAATATGGAATTCCATCGACTGTAATTTTACCAAATCACTGGTTCACAATATGAAACGTCGATTAAAACAAAGTATTATCACCAAAGGTGGTCTAACAAAGTATTAATATTAAATAATACTGTATATATGAAGCGTTCGAATACTTTTGTAACGTATTAACTGTGCGTCTTTATAATAAATGTATTATAACTACTGCATAAGTTGTTGAATCATTTTCAAATTTTTCTGACATGATCTTCAAATTTCCCTCCTACTATACACCCCACATTGTCTTAAACAGGTTCCTTTGACATATACAGTGGCGGATATGTACTTACGAACATTCTCTGCGGATGAATTTCTACTGTTATTAATAATATTGCGGAAGAGTAGAAATTAATTATAATTGTAATTTTTTTATGGTATACATGTGTATTTGAAAAATGCAAGGTAACGTTCAATTAACTTAAACGTTAAAAAAGATAACATAACAATAATAATTCTCGTATTTCTTCTTACGGACACATACTTATGAACATCATGCTTTCGATGGTTTAGTAGTCTTTTTAAGAGCGAAAATGATATTAAATATTATTTAAAATTAATTAAATGTCAGTATTTTGTCATCTTGCCATGTGCTTTAATGATTAATTGCTGTACATTGTCTTGGCATACATTTTATTAAGCGAATGCATCGGTCAATAGGAATAGATTACTATGAATTCTCTATTGCAGTGTATAATTTATTGATATTTTTTTTTAAATTTTATTTCTGTATCTACATCAATCCAGAGCATTTTAATAGGATTTAAATGTGGACTTAGTGCCGGCCATTTCAATACAGTAATTTCTTTTTCGCCTACACTGTGTGTGGCAATTTCCGCCATATGCTTTGTATCGTTATCAGCCTGATAAATTCAATCTACAGGCATTTTTTCTTCAGTAAACGACAAAAGAACATTTTTAACAATGTCTCAATAAACAAAACGGTTCATTTTGTCTTAACTGTGATGTATAGTATAGTTTTCTTGGCCAATACGACGTTCTATGTAAATTTTGCCATCAGATCCAAAAAGATTGAATTTACTTTCGCCAGTAAATATAATTTTTGACCCCTGGTCTTCTGTCCAGTTGAGGTGATCTTGCACGTTGATTCTTTTCCGAAATTCTACTAAACGTCGAACAGTTCGCACACTAATTTCGTTCTCCAGATGTGGCAATATTTCACCATGAATATTGTGGGATAATAATGTGGTTGATAAATACTTCTTACCGTATTACAAATGCTAACCGTCTTGGTCTTTAACCGGATTCAACTAATGTTCGACTTTGACTGCCTGGCGATCGAGGATTTAAGCACCGTTGCGCTCATCCCCTACGTTTAAGAGCGCGTCAACAATTATGCGAATCCACTTCCGCATGTGCGTTCCAATTTCTATGCCCGACACCACAATATCAACCGCCGTTTTAAAACGGTTGCTTTCAGAAAGGCAAATCATGGATGAAACGGTGTGTTCTATTATTAGTTTTACGGGGTTTCGGTTTACGGGGAATATTTTCTGAAGTTTGATGAGTATTAATATGTTGTATGGCCTTATGACAAGCTTCAATAAATATACCCAATTGTAAGAAAATACTCCGATACGTCAGTCCTTGGTTTTTAAGGAGGCGTCAAACGGATGCCAAACTTGGCGTTGTTGCTCAGACGTAATATTTTTTCTCTTACTCATGATCAACACGTTTGATTCTGGCGTATGCACTGTCTAAACATCCAGAAACAACGAGAAATAAATATGAAGTCGAAACTGTCTAATATGTGAAACAAATGAGTGTCACGAGTGAATGTTATTAGTGTTCGTAAGTACATGTCCGAAACAATGTCACGGAATTCAAAGTAACCATTTTCTACAACCTATAATATCAAAGTTATTCGAGTGGTATAAAAGAGAATAGTCGAAAATATCTCAAACATAAAAGAAATATAAACTAAGTGGTACAAAATGCTAATATCATTTTACAGATAATGAAACCATAATTATTCACATGTTCGTAAGTGTACGCCCTCCACTGTATATTTCGTTCATTAAGAATTGCAAATGTAAGCGTTCGAATAATAGATTATAGCATTCTACGACTTGTTGTTCAAGCGGCCTTAAAAGTAACTCGTTTAGACATTATAGTATCTGCGTTTATATGCACGTACATCTATTCTTCCAATAAAAATAGCTTCTTCCGGTTACAGATAATTCTTTAGAAGAAACAAATTATTCTACGATTGCATTCACAAACTACCAAACCGAAAGTTTGTCCTACCGAAATAGTTGAATAAATAAACTTTCAACCTTCTACCAGCAAAAGTGAGTGTATTTAGAATACTTTTCTTCAGT